TTTGCCCCTTTCTTAAATAAATAGAACCAAGAAATGGTTCACTTTATGTTTTGTCAGTTCCATCTCAATTACCAAGCAATTTTATAATTATGTCCGCTACAACATATATTGTGTTATGGGTGAAAAAAATTCTAAAGTTTTGACGGAATTACGTAAAATTTTTATTAGAGATTTTATAGTAATAATTTTTTTTGGGTCATATGTTTGTATATTACATTGGAACTTTGATTCTATACCAAAATAATGCTTTTAATGAATCGGTAAGATTGAAACGCAAAAGAAATCTTTTGTTTCCAATATTATTCAACTTTGAAAATGTAAAAATAAAGTCACTTCTATTTAAAATTAAAATAACGTGGGATTAAAGGTGGACAATGTGCTAGTGATACCGCTGGTAGTAATTACACTCGTCCAAAAGCTACTAGCTTTAACTACAAGCGAGCCGTACGCACATCGCTTTTCACAGACGTGATATTACTGTTTTCCTTATTGGTCCCTTTTGAAACCAGTTTCAGTGTAAACACTCATTAATTTTTTATTCACAAAAAAGTAAAACTTTTAAAGAGACGGTAAAAATTACCCTTATTCGAATTTCCAGTTATCCCAATATTCCAGAGTAATAGACGTCTGATATGTTATAAATAGCACCAAAGTTAACCCATTTGGCGCCTCTGTACCCGATTGTGTACACCTAATCAATTGAAGGTAGATAATCACTTTACTAACCTATATTTGTTTTTTTAGTCTCATAATTAAAAATGATAGTTTGAGCATCAAAAAAATTACAATTTATGTGGGTATATTTATAAAATCTGTCACAGTAAGGCTATGAACTTCGCGATGTAATCGTTTATCGAGGTAAGTTCGCTTATACATTATTTTTTTTATATTACATAACCTAAATTTCAGATATATTTATGTTTCTTGTAGTCAACATCCTTATTCGTAAAATCAATAATAAAAGAGTATCTTACAACAAGTATTTACAAAGAAATCGTACTTGAAATACAATTGTACTCGATTGCGTACAGCGGCCGAATCCATATAACGATTGCGCTTATTGTTCTAGTATTTCGTTACCATGAGTTCGAAATATTCTAGCGTTTCTAACTGTTACAAAGGATCAGAGTCAATGCTGTTTTGGATGAGAGTGACAGTGAAGGGGATTACGACTGTTATACAGCCAGATCTCAGCATCCTTACAGATGAAGAGGAAGGTTTCGACGAAGACATGGTTACCGCATCTTTGCCGCGGGCTGTGCCTGGCAATATTGAGTTTGTTAGAGCTAACGAGGACAACATTTTAAGTGACGATAATAGGAGGAATCATTGGCTGAAAAAGAAATGAAAAGGCGAAAGCAGCTATGTCAGCCTGTATGGCGTAAATGTTCCCTTCCATAATCTTCGACGACTGAAGAAAGAACTGATATGCAAGAAAGACAGGAGGCAGTTAAAGAACAACTCAGAGAACTTAGTCCCGTACAGATATTTGAATAAATGTTTGATGAAGAAGTTAATTACGAATACAATTGAATATGCTAATCAAAATAGCAGACATACTTTTCAACTGGACTCCATTGATTTGTATAGGTTCATAGGTATATTGATACTTTTTGGTTATCATAAAGTATCCAGGGAAGATTTGTTGGTTTATGTCAAAATAGCTATACATATAATAAAAATATGGGGGGAGTTGATGAATTACACCAATCGATTGCACTGTATAAGATTTCTGTTCAGAAGAAAGTGGCGGTGGGTTCATTCAACATTACAAGGTTTGGCTCAAAATAGTGTAGAGCACTATCCGAAAAGGTTACAAAATGATTGCGATGTGTTGTTTGTCAAACAAGAGTTCGTTGGCAATGCATAAAGTGCGGAAAAAACATTATGTTTTGAAAACCAACGTTTTGAAAAATTTCACCTATAATAAGCCGCTGTACTCAATTGTGTACACCCTTCTCCTTAAAAGCCTGATTTTCTTTTTCAAAATATTATTTTCTTTTATGTTTATTTGACTCATAGGCAACATGAAAATAAATGTTTTGTAAAAGTACTACTGCTGTTTTAATTTTGGCGTTTAATGGGTTAAGAGCCAGTGAACGGATACCTGTATGTATTTGACCAGACCTGGGCTTCAGTACATAGAGACCCTTTTACCTACCGTACATGAGATGGGGACTCACTAAGCCCTAAGTGGTGGACGCGGCTAGTGCGCAGGTAGGACAGGACAGGTATCGATTTTCGGCTATAAATGCATTTGACCACGTCTGCCGTTTTGATATTTGAAAATATATTATTATTATCAGTGGATTTGATTTGTTAGATTAATGGTATTTTAAGATTGATTTTAAAAATAAAAAAGTTAATTACTAAAAAGACGGAAATGATAATTATTAACTATGGATGCTCGAAATCCTAATCTTTACGAAGAAATAATACCAGCCGGACATCAAAGTTATAGTACAGGATCCGTGGCCTATTTTTTCACTTGATTACTATCAAGCTAATTTTCCGTGAGTAGCTTCATTTTGATAAGACGCCCAACAATTTCCTGTGCGAAAATTTTTGATTGTGGTAGCTAACAGAGGTAGCAATGATAAAATATGTCGATTTGATGATTCTTCAATATTTATTACTAACTGAATTGTTTTTATTAAATCTTAAGATAATTATCTAAATTATTTGAAAAAATATTTGTCCTACAAAATCTATGGTTTCATCAAAGAGTCCTCCCCCTCCAACATGTATTGATAACGAGATCACCAAAAATGATTACTAACCAGCTGATTTTTTTTTTATTACTTAGTTAATATATATATAATTTAACAGCCATATTGTCCTACAAATTTCGTGGTATGTTATCCCGGTTCCTACGCTTAAAAGTAGTAGTACAGATCATTGATGTAAAAATAATTACTATCAAGCTGAATCTTCGTGAATAGCATCGTTTTAATGAGACGCCCAACAATTTCCTGTGCGAAAATTCTCGATAGTGGTAGCTAACGGAGGTAGCAATAATAAAATATGTCGATTTGATGATTCTCAAATATTAATTACTAACTGGATTGTTTTTCATTAAATCTTAAGATAATTATCTAAATTATTTGAAAAAATATTTGTCCTACAAAATCTATGGTTTGATCAAAAAGTCCTCCCCCTCCAACATGTATCGATAAGGAGATCACCAAAAATGATTACTAACCAGCTGATTTTTTTTTCTATTACTTAGTTAATATATATATAATTTAACAGCCATATTGTCCTACAAATTTCGTGGTATGTTATCCCGGTCCTACGGTCAAAAGTAGTAGTACAGATCCTTGATGTAAAAATAGCGTGGTACGCTATTGCGGTGCTCCAATTGAATATATATTGGAAAGTCATGAAATTAAAAATCAATTTATATTTCTTATTATATTAATATATTTATTATTTCTCAAGCGTGCGAAAAAAAATGTTGACTTTTTGGTAGATTTCACTCAACAATAATATTATTTTATAAGTTAAAAAATTACTGAACGTCTAATTTTAAACTAATTTTTAAACTAATTTTATAAGTTAAAAAATTACTGAACGTCAACTGAAATTAAACAAAACAATAACAAAGAAACCTTTGTGCCGCTTGTGTTTCTGTATTTTTCTACAACAGCTGAGTCACACCGTGACGCGTGCGCAGAGCATTTTTACTCCGTCGTAGTAGGTATCCCACGTTTGTGTCGAGTATAAGCGTGTTAGTAAGCATTTTTCAGTTAATTTTTCATAATTATGGAGTGTTTCTTGTGTAATTTGCTTTGTGAAAATCCTACTTTCCGAGAGAAAAGAGAAGAAGTGAAGAAATTTAATGCAGACATTTGGCTTTCCTGTAAAACTTTTTTATCTGCTCGAAAACATCATCAACATAAATATGGAGATGTTATATTACCTGAAAATTGGAATGACGAAATCATAGGTTATCATTCCTCTTGTTACAAAGAATTTCGAGTGAAATCTAAATATTTGTCTTATGAAAGGTAAGTCGGTCGAATATTTTTTTACTTTATTTTTAAAATTATTGAAAAATAATTTATTAACTTAAAATTTTCATGTAATTATATTATGTAAAATCGAACATTAGCCTTGAAACATTATTGTTACATTCTTTAAATAATAATTTTAGAAAGTATATTTTATTTTACACTTTTGATTACTAAATTTGGAGTATAATATAAATATATTCAATGCAATAATAAACTTAGCCACGTGTTTATCGTTTACTCATTCAAGCCTCGGAGAATTCGAGTACGTTCGGAAATGCTCGACTCTTCTCGGGAAGTTTTTTATCATTTACATTTGTTCTTGTATAACTATTTTACCAAATATTAATTTAATATGGGATCATTTTTTCAATATCGATAATGTTAAGTGATATTTATGTAGACTGTGTGTACTGGCATGTTTCTCAAATAAATTATTTTTTTTTTTTTTTTAATAATTTCTCATATACACAGCACTGAGCCAGCTTCAACATCATCTGCGTCTCAATCTACTGCAATCATTGATTCCTCGATTTCTTTAACGTCTGCTCCAAATGCAGAACCGGACCCATTGCCATGCACATCACGGTTAGTTAATTTAAAAAAAAAAACATTATTTGTTAGTAATTGTTCATTTTTTAAAACAAGTAAATCTGAATCGACTGTTTTTTGAAACGATTCCATTACAATTATTTTTCAATTATTGTTTCTGTAAAAATACAAATCTCAAAAAATCTTCTTGACATTATTTATTTATTTTCAATTATAATTTTTTACAGAAATATTGACCAAAATTCGACATTAGTAAATGATGAAACCAGTAATATCGAAGACTCGGAAAATACTGTTGAGGAGGACAATACAGATTGTGAAGTAGATGTACAAAGTTTTCGAGATGATGAGTCAGGAAAAAAATGCTTTTTTTGTGAAAAAGTCAATATAAAACGTAAAGGGCGACAAATGTACTGTCGTAAAATTAAAAACAAAATGCCCTTTCTGGAAAAAATTAAAAATTATTCTACAGAACTGGGTGATATAGAGATGTTACTAAAAATTCAAGAAGAAACTAACTCTGTTAACGATGCTTTTTTGGCGTATCACAATATATGTAGTGTGAATTATTTTGCAAAATACCAAAGGAAAACGAATCCACCTCCAAGTAATGATTGGGCTACGAAACGAGAAGGCCATAAAATTGCCAGAGAACGATTGATTAATTATATTCAGCAAGAAGTTATTACAAATCGACGAGTGATGTCATTAGCTCACTTGAAATATTGTTATGCTGAATTTGTGAAAGAAATGTATGAACACGCAAATTTAGAAGCTACCACATTCAGCAATAAAGCTCTTAAGGATTATATACAAACTCAATTAAGACACAAAATATCATTGGTTAACATTTCTAATCAACAATTTGTTATATCATCTGAAGTAGATATTGAAGCAACCGATGATGAAGAAATCAGTAATATATTATTTGAACAAGAAGCACAGGATTTCGCCTTGAAATATCGAAAAAATATATTGAAAATAAAAAAAAAACCTTTAACAGATTTCATTGATAGTGAAGTATTAAATGAAGGAGAGTGCGATGTTCCAAAATGGTTGGATTTATTTTGGACTACTGCTTTGAACGGTATTGGCAAAGAAAGCTGCGATCGGGTTCAGAGATTGTCTTCATGTTATTCGCAGGACTCCATCTACAGTATTACTAGAGGTTATATTAAACCGCGAAAGCATATTTTACTGGGTATAACAATGAAAAGCCTCACGGGAAGCAAAAAAGTTGTGGATATATTAAGCAGACAAGGTTACTGCATCACTTATCCGAGCGTACTGGAATTGGAGACGTCTGCTGCATATTCTTGTGCCACTAATAATCGATCATGTCCTTCCGGCATACAACCAACTTCTTTATTATCATCTGGAGTAGCGTGGGATAATTTCGACAGATATGTAGAGACAAGCTCTGGTAAAAATACCTTGCATGACACAGTGGGTATCATTTATCAAAATATCCCTACAGAAGAAGAATTGAACATTATCAAAAGGAACGATGCATCTACAGAAGCTCAACAGAATTTATCAGTTAATGTTCGTGATTTGACTGGCCGTAGAAAACGTTCGTTTGAGGAACAGACATTTGAAAATGTACTGTACGCGAAGCAACGTCGTCCAGAATTTTGGCGTAGTAGTGTAGCGTCACCTGAAGAACCGCAAAATTTAATTAATTTTCAGCACAGATATTTTACATGGATACTTTCCCATAACTTTCAAATTTCAAACACGCCAATGTGGGTAGGATATAATGCCAAAATTTTAAAAGATGACAGTAGAATTCAAAAGATTGAGTATTTAACGCAAATTAATAATTCACCCACGGATCCGGCTGTTGTAAAGGAGACCATGCGAAGAAGTTTGCAAATCGCTTCGGAATGTCAAAAAAATTTCTTCAGCGTTACTTACGATTTAGCTATGGCCAAAATTGCTTTACGGATACAGAGTGCGGAGGATGAATTTCAAAAACTTTTTATTAATTTTGGACCTTTCCACATAATGTTATCATTCATGAAAGCTATCGGAAAATTTATAAGTGGATCTGGGTTAACAAATATTCTTATAGATAGCGAAATTTTGGCCAGTGGTTCTATCAGTTCCTTTATAAGTGGAAAACACTTTAATCGGTGCAGGAAAATTCATCCTCTACTTTCTCTTGCTTTGCAGATTTTGCATTTGGAAAGGTTTTTACAACATTTTCAGAACCTGGAAAATATTAAAGAATACTTAGAAATATTTAATGAGCAACAAAATGATGACCCACAAATAACCAATGAGAATTTAAAGATCTTATTTAACAAATATAAAGAGTATAAAAATGAAACTTTAAATGGAAGTCATGGTAAAACACCTCAAATTTATTTAATGTACACAAGATTAGTTGAATATTATCTCCAATTAGAATATAGTATTCGTATAGGTGACTTCAGTTTATTTGTACACACTTTACCGAAAATAACAAATGTTTTTTTTTCAATGAATCACCATAATTATGCAAGGTATATGTCTATTTATTGGGATAAGTTGATAAATATTGAAACTACACATCCCGGATTGCTTGATGATTGTCAAAAGAGTTTCATAGGCATTCGAAGAACAATGAAACCTTTTTCAAGAATCCCAGTTGATTTAACACTTGAACAAACAATCAACGCTGACGCTGCTTCTAAAGCTTCTGGAATTATTAATATTACAAACTCGTTCTCTGCAAGACAAAAATGGTCAATAATTCATTCACTACGTACAAGTATTATATCTAAAGTAATGGAGTTTTGTAATATGAAATCAACAGATGATATTACGAAAGATTTAAAGAAGTCAACTATTAATAAATCTATCAAAAACTTAGAAGTACTGATGCAACTGATAAAGCAGTATACCAATCCTTTTGCATTAGAGCTGTCAGAAGATCATCTTTACAATATATCGAAAGGTCAGTCAGTGAACGATGAAATATATAAATTTTTATCATCAGTTGAGATCGAAGGTGAAAAACAACAAAAGAATTTCATTGCTGAGACTCGAGTTACACCAGATAGGTTTGATAAAGCCATTACTAAAAATAAAATAATTAATTTTGAGTACAAAAATACGAAAAACGTCAAAATTAATGGAAAAGTGAGAGAAGTTAGGATACAAAGAGATGTTTTTGGTCGTCTACTTTATGCATCACTACAAAATAAAATTGATATAGAAAAAGCATTAAGTTATCCTCTAGCTCCTATTCCATTTTCACTCTGTCACAATAATGGAACCATTTGCAAGACCCCCAAATCTGTAGTTATTAATGAATTACTAGAATATCAAACTGAAATACTAAATCCTCCAGAAGCAGACATTCACTTAGTAGATGGATTTTATTTATTACATACGTTGAAGAACCTTCCAAACAAATATGGTAAAATCTCGATGCATATATTAAAAATACTTATACAGCTGCGTGCAAAAGTATTAGGCACCCCTATTGTTAGTCACTATCTCATTATATTGCGGTCAAGTGTGTGTGTTTTATGGTTTAGCTATTGTATTAGCGGCAATTTTTAACCAAATTAAGATAAAAGAAAATATTTATGACATCCAGGTGTGCTCCTAAGCGGCGTTTCTTCGAATTTGCTTTTTTTGCGTTTCGGGTTATAGTGTGTTATCAGTGCTTGCAGTGAACATACACGTCTTCTACGCAACTATTCCTATCACAATTCTAAAGACTAACATTTAACGTGTTAATCATGCCGAAAAAATCTGAACTTAGTGCTGAACAGCGTCTAAGAATTAAGATTTTACATGAACAAGGCATGTCTCAGGTTAAAATAGCCCGAGAAGTGAAGTGCTCGCGATGTGCAGTTCAATATGCTACAAATCGCTTCAAAGAGACTGGCACCCATGAAAATAGACCAAGAACAGGCAGAAGAAAAGTCACTACTGAACAAGAAGATCGATTGTTGATTAGGCAGTCTCTACAAAACAGGAAAAAAACTGCTTTAGAGCTCGCTGCAGCATTATCTGAGGCAAAAGGCAGCTCAGTGAGTGTTTATACTGTGAGAAGAAGACTTCTTAAAGCTGGATTAAAAGGATGTAAAGCAAGGAAGAAGCCGTGGCTGTCAGAACACAATAAGAAAAGTCGGTTGGAGTGGGCACTCAAACATAGAGATTGGTCAGTGGAAGATTGGTCCAACGTACTGTGGTCAGACGAATCTAACTTTGAGGTATTGCTATTTATTTTATGTACAATATTAAAACACATAAATGCTTTTAAAATAACGTACTGCAAGAAAAATAATAACTTTGAAAATAAATGTGTTTTTTTCGTTTGGCATAGGTGTTTGGAACACCCGGTGTGACTTATGTTAGGCGAAGGGTTGGCGAAGAATACAACCCAGAATGTGTGGTTCCCACTGTTAAGCATGGTGGAGGCTCAATAATGATCTGGGGCTGCATGGCTGCCGACGGAGTGGGCGAAATGGTGTTATGTGAGGGACGAATGAATAGTGTTAAATACACTGAAGTTCTGGAAACAGCACTAGCAACGTCGATAACGCAAATTTTCGGTGATACAAACACCGATGGCCTGAAATTTCAGCAAGACAACGCCACTTGCCACAAGTCCGCGCATACCATGAAGTGGTTTGCTGAAAATCATATTGATCTTTTGGACTGGCCACCACAATCACCAGACCTCAACCCGATTGAGCATATTTGGTCCATTTTAAAGAAAAATATCCGCAGGCACTCGATTAGCAATAAACAAGCTCTATTGGCCGCGTTACAGCAGGAATGGAAAAATATATCAAGAGAAGAATGTTTCAGGCTGGTAGAGTCAATGCCAAAAAGAGTGGCTGCGGTTATTAAGTCAAAAGGTGGACCTACAAAATATTAATTATTTTCTTAAAATAAACCATTGTAATCATAAATGCAGTTTTATTTACACTCGCTATGCTAAAACACCCTAAAACTTGTCTTACTGTAGGGTGCCTAACACTTTTGCCCGTGGCTGTATATAATAGAAAAGAAGTACATATTATATTTGACAAATACAAAAAACCCAGTATTAAAGATTTTGAACATGATTTGAGAGGTGAAGAGGACACACAGTATGACGTAATACGTAAAGACTCTAATCGTCCTGCAGATTTCTGCAAATTATTGAGGAGCAACAACTTTAAAGAAAAATTTGTAGAATTTTTAATTGAAGATTGGACAAGGGACGAATTTATTACATTGATCACAGGAAAAACTGTTAAACTTAACTATGATCAATGTTACACTTATGAGGTGTCTAGTGAAAATAAAATCAAAAGAGTCATTGACTATAACCTCTCGTGTTATCATGAAGAAGCTGATACCAAAATTGTATACCACATTTGTCAATTTAATACTAATTATCGTGTCCAGATACATTGTACGGATTCTGATATACCAATAATAATGCTGGCAAATTTTAAGTATTTAAAAGATGAAATTCAAATAATAATTAATTTAAGCACGAGTAAAAAAAAAATGTACTTAAACATAAATGAAATTTATGAAAAACTTGGGGATCAATTATCTTGTTCACTCGCTATATGCCATATTTTTACAGGAAATGATTATAATCCCGCTTTCTTTCGTAAAGGAAAAAAGAGACCTTTTAGTATTTTAAAGAAAAATAAAAAATTTCAAGAGGCTTTTATTCAACTCCTACGGATTGAAAATACAGCATTAACAACATCGAATGAAGTATTTCAAATTATTGAAGAGTATGTATGCAGAGTGTATACATTAAAAACAAAAAATGATATCAACAAAGGACGGTACGAGTTATTTGAAAAAGGATATAAATCAAAAAATGAAAATGAAGAAATTTTAAAACAAAAAATCGTAGGATATGATCCTTCCAGTTTGCCACCAACAAAAGAAGAATTGTTACAACAAATTAAAAGAACTGCATTTATCTGCAATGTATGGTGTAACGCACATATGCGGTGCCCCACGGAAAAATTGCCGGAAAATTTTGGATGGACAATAATTGATGGCAAATATGAATATTATTGGTTTGATGGTCCCCAAAGTCCATCTTTTGAAGAATTATCTTCTGAAGAACAAGGTACCCTATTTATACTATTGTTATTTATTGATTGATTATTCATTATTATATAATTTACTAAATTTTTTCATGTTATTACAGAGTCAGATATCACGAGTGAGGAAAGTGAAATAAATGAAGATGATAGCGATGTTAGTAGCGAAGATTATGAAGATTCATCAGATGAATATGATGAAGATTAATTTTTTTTTATCTATAAATACACCAATACACCAATTTTTGTACCTAATTTTCCTAAAAAATAAACTTATTTAAATTTTAAAAAAGATTTTTTCACTGTATCTTATGTTAGAAATAGGAAAACGAAAAAATTACAATTCTTGTCGGACTAGTGATACATACCTGTTTTTTTGTAGGACATTGTTTTATTTGGGCACTGAACACACTAACCTATTATGTAATATTTTTGTCCTACAGTTAGTAATGAGAAAAATGGTTTTATGGTATTAACAATTTCTGAGCGTAGGACCGGGATAACATACCACGAAATTTGTAGGACAATATGGCTGTTAAATTATATATATATTAACTAAGTAATAAAAAAAAAAATCAGCTGGTTAGTAATCATTTTTGGTGATCTCGTTATCAATACATGTTGGAGGGGGAGGACTCTTTGATGAAACCATAGATTTTGTAGGACAAATATTTTTTCAAATAATTTAGATAATTATCTTAAGATTTAATAAAAACAATTCAGTTAGTAATAAATATTGAAGAATCATCAAATCGACATATTTTATCATTGCTACCTCTGTTAGCTACCACAATCAAAAATTTTC